CTAAGAACCGACGTAGAATGTGTTTAATATTCAGTTTCAACGTCGGTTCATCTGAGAACCGACGTGGAAAGTACTTTCTACGTCGTCTCAGCTATAACCGACGTTAAATAACGACGTAGAAAGTATATTTTGTAGTAGTGACGAACCGATAGAATCCTTGAACTTCAAAGTCACTTTGATTTCATATAACCTTTACAGAGAATGAGAAAGAAAGAAAAGACCTTTGGTGTGTGACGAGAAAAAAAGAAAGAACGAAAAGTAGTTGTGAAGATAAGAGAAGAGAGAATAAAAAGTGGTTGTGACGAGAGCTGAAAAGCTTTGGTGGGTGAGGAGAAAAGAAAAACTTCTACTTTTTATTTTTTTTAAATAATAATCTCTGTTGAATAATTTTTATTTTTTTTAAGAAGAACTTTGTTTTTTTTTTTAATAATTACATATGTCAAATAATGAATGAGTCATACTATTTTTGTTACACAAGTCACCATATATTTAACGTCATTTAAAATAGAGACTTATTCCAATTATTTCAAAAGTATAAGGATCATTTTTATGTGAATTTTGACAAATGAACTATTTCCAATTTCACATTAAAGTATAGGAACTAAAAATATACTTAACCCATATTTTAATAACTACATTTTTAGTCAGTAATATATTAAAAAAATTGTTAACAATAAAATTATTGATAGTTAAGTTTTGGTGGCTAATCATTTAACAACCAATTTTTAGTCATTAGTGTCTTAGAAAACAAAATAGTTAGAAACAAATATATTAATCACTAAAATTTTGTCACCGATGTTATAGTATTTAGTGACTAATATCTTCTGAAACAAGAAACGATCATTGATTGGTAAGTTTTGGTAACTAATTTTTTAAATCTTTGTTACTAACATGTTTAAAATAAGATAATTAACGATAAATATATTTGTAATTAATCTTTTAATGATTGTGTTTTAAGTTATTTATATGTTAAAAATAAAATATTAATAATGAAGATATTGATAGTTCAATTTTGGTAACTAATATTTTAACAACCTTATTTTCTATTACTATTATGTTAAAATAAAGATAATTTACTACCAAAATATTTTAGTTACTAATTTTTTAGGTGTGGAAATGTTTAACAAGATAATAAACGATAAATACATTGATACCTAATCTTTTTAACAACTGCATTGTAAGTCTCTAATATCTAAAAATAAAATAGTTTGTGACTACATATAAATATATTGATTGATAATGTTTTATTAACTATTTTTCAAATGCTAATAATTTTAAATCAAGATAATTAATGATGAAAAAATTGGTCGCCAATATTTTAGCCACAAGATTTTTATTATAATTTTTAAAATACTTAGCGACGAAAATATTAGTCACTATTCTTTTAAAAAACTAAATAATTTGTGATAAACATAAGTTTTAATGATTAATCTTTTAGCGTGGGCACTTCAGTCTCTTATATCTTCAAAACAAATTCTTTAGTGCAAAATATATTACCCGCTAAATTTTGGTCACTAATATTTTAACAATTGTTTTGAGTTGATTAATAAAAAATAGATTAGTCATTAATGTTTTAGCCATCGTTTTTTAGATTATCGTTAAAAATATAGTTAGAGAAGAAAACATATCGGTCTCTAATACTTAAACAACAATATTTTGTCTTTATTGTATTTCAAAAATAAAATAGTTTCCTACAAACATACTAATTATGAAGTTTTAGTTACTATTTTTTATTGATTGTACTTTTAAACTCTAAAATGTTCAGAACCAAATATTTAGTGACAAATATTTTAGTCACTTGGCATTAATAGATAATATTTTAACAAAAATACCATAATTTCTAATTTGAAAAAATATTAATAATAAAAATATTCATTTCTAAGTTTGTGTTGTTATGTTTTAATGATTATTTTCTCAGTACCTAATATATTCAAAACAAGATAATTAATAATAAATATATTAATCACTAGTTTTTAATAATTACATTTTCAATAAGATAACTAGTGACAAATATATTAATTTTTCCAAAAAAATATAATTTTTTTGACAAAGATATTTGTCCTTAGTTTTGATTATTATTCTTTTACAAAATATATTTTCACTTTTTAATATTTGCAAAATAAAATATTGATTGCCGAATATATTGATGGCTAAATTCTAATTGTTAATATGTTTAAAAGAAGATAATTAGCCAGGAATAAATTGATCACTAATGTTTTAATCAGTATATTTTCACGATAATATTAAGTGAAACATATTAATTATTAAGTTTTAGTCCATAATGTTTTAGTGACTACTTTTTCAATGGTTAACATGTTCAAAACAAGATAATTAGTGATAGAAAGATTGGTCATTCATGTTTTTATAACCACATTTTTCAAAATAATGTTAAAGATAATTAAATATTAGTATTGGTCGTTAATCTTTTAGGGATTATATTTTTATTCTCTAATGTTTTTAAAAATTAAATATTTTGTGACAAAAAATATTAATCTTTAAGTTTTTGTTGCTAATTTTTTATATCAATAATATATTTTATCTTTAATAAACTAAAAAATAAAATAGTTTGCAATGGATATATTAGTTGCTAAGTTTGTGTCGCTACGGTTTAACATTTTTTTTAATAATATGTTTACAATAAATAATTAGTAACGAGTATATTAGTCACTAATGTTTAGTAACAATTTACTCTAATATGTTAAAAAAAAGAGATAGTTAACTATAAAGTATTGATTATTAATCTTTTAGCAACTACTTTTTTATCTTCAATGTGTTCAAAATAAAATATTTATTAGCTAACATGTTAGTCGTTAATATTTTAATAATAGATCTTGTTTTATATATATATATGATCAAAATAAGATAATTAACAATAAACATTAACAAAAAACGTTTATTATCTACGGGTAAAATTCGTAGGTAATGTCACTTTACCTATGGATTTCTTTCCGTAAAAAATCCGTATGTAATTCGGTCGTAAGTAATTTACCTACGCATTATAATATGTAGGTAATGCACTCACCTAAACAAAATATTTTTTTTTACTACAACTCCCTCCCTTATTTTTTATTATTACCTTGGACTCCCTCCCTTTATATTATATTTTTATTATTTATTATATTTTTAGAATACCTCAGAATTTGAGGTTGATACTCCAACCACTAAGCTTATTAGGATATTTTGATAATAATTTACAAATAAATTATATTTATATTTATTCGTGTAAATACATAAATATATAAATATATAAAATATATATAAATATAAAATATATTTATATTTTGATATATTTATATTTATATATTTATATATTTATATATTTATGTATTTATATATTTATGTATTTATGTATTTATATATTTATGTATTTATATATTTATGTATTTATACGAATAAATATAAGTATAATTTATTTATAAATTATTATTAGAATATTTTAACGACTTAGTAGTTAAAGTATCAATTATCAACTTTAAGGTACTGGGTTCGATTCTTGTTAGTAACAATTCTTTTAGTTTAATATAATTTACCTACAGATTTTATTACCGTAGGTAATATTTCGTAGATAATAGACTTTTTTTTGTAATGAAATAGATTGATACTATCTTTCACCGATCACATATTTAATTTTTAATGTGTGCATGAAAGTATTAATTGTTGAGTGTTTAGCGACTATATTTTTGGTTATTAATTTGTTTAGAATATAGTTAGGGACAAATATATTAGTAGCTAAGTTTTTAGTTATAGAAATTTATTTCTCTAATACTAAATTCAATTTTTAATATGGTGGTAAAAGATTACAATGTAACAACAAATTTCTTGGTGGCTAATTATGTGTGGAAAACATAAAAGATTTGCAACACATTGCACTCAGTTGTTATATATTAATTTGTATAAATATTGTAATGATGAAAAATATTTGTTGGTAATTTTTTAATAACGCATTTAAATTTATAATACATATTAGTTATTAAGTTTTGTTCACATCCAATTTTAGAAGACACAAAAGTTTAAGTTGGTCTATGAATGTATTTTACTTGCCTGAAGGGCCTATAAATACACTTACATGTATTGAATTCCTACAAATAAAAAACTACACTGAAAAGATGAAAGAATGTTCATAAATGAAATATATTTCAAAGTTCAACCAGAAAAACTATAATACTATATAAAACCTAATATTCTCATTATCATTCAATAACTTCACTAATCAATTTAAATTATTGTAGTATATATTAGTTGGTTTTTATTTTGTAATAAGTAGATATCAATTGATCGATTCAAGTATTTATTTTTATTTTAAAATTATATTTGAAATTAAAATAAATTTTAAAAAATTTATTAATTTAAATTTGTTATATATTTGAACTATTATATATATATATATATATATATATATATATATATATATATATTCAAATCAAAGTATACATTTGTATTCTCAAATTTAAATATTCAAATCATCATAAAAATTATTTTTTAATAAAAAATGATATTAATTATATAAACTTGACACTTCTAAAATCACACATTATTTATATTACATCAAATATTATAAAAATTAAATATAATATTTTAAAAAACTCATAATAAAATTAAATAAATCTAAATTTAGATATATTTCATGTATAATAAACCTAAAAATATCTCTCTATCAAAATCATATATATATATATATATATATATATATATATATATTAATTTTGCATGATTATAATTAATTTTATTATTTTTTCATAAAGTGATATTACTTAAAAATAATTTAAATATTTAATAATTTATTTCCACGTGTATTGTTAAATCTAATTTTTAATAATCAGTGACTAAATTGGATAAAATATTAATATGGCAAAATATTCTTTTGATATATAGTTCGTATTATTTATTCTAAATATACTGTTATAAAGTGAGGAAATGGAAATTGAGCACAGCGTGAAAAATTTAACGAACGTGTACTCGACTTGCTCCTCACTCTGTTGAGCGTGGCAATCCAATCAGCCATGGCGGGCATTCGAATGATAGGTAAGTAACGCGCTTCCTTACTTTGCTTTTGGTTCAGATTCTAACTCAAACGAGCTAACATTTTTTTCCCTCCAACAAACACAAACGCAGATATAGCCGTCAATTTCACTGGTGAGGCATTTAATCAAACACTTTCTGTTCTTCATTCATCTATTCTCTCTCTAATTCCAAAAGCTGCAGATGGAATGTTCAAGGGAATCTACCACGGCAAGCAATGTCACGTCTCCGATATTGCAACCGTTTTGAACAGGGCTTGGGCTGCTGGCGTCAACCGAATTATAGTAATGTGCCCTATTTCTCAACCAATCTTTCATATCTGCGATGTAAAGGTTTATTACGAATGTTAGTTTTGGTTTAATCGTTAATTGAGGAAATTAAGAGAAATTCAGAGTAATGAAACTGAAAGTTGAAGAAGATATTATATGTTTTAATTGGGACAACGAGGGATGCTTCAGGTATTTAAATTTTAACGATGTTGTTCGGACAAAGGCATTTCAGACATCAGTTTTATGACATACAATATGAACTCTGCTATATGTTTGGATGGTTTGTGCTTAGTTAGAACTTGATTTTTGTGTTGCAGGTAACCGGTGGGTCACTTGAAGAATCAAGGGAGGCGCTTGCAATTGCAGAAACAGATGGTTTGTCTTCTTCATATTGCTTTCTCTTGATGACTTTCAAGTGCAGAATGCGGATTTTCAGTAATTTGATGATTTATTGTTCAATTATAGGAAGACTTTTCTGCACAGTTGGTGTGCATCCAACACGATGCAAGGTTGCTTTTCTCCTTTAGGAACTCTTCCATGGAAGTGTTTCTAACTTGGGTTTAGTGTATTGGTTCAGGAATTTGAGGAGAGTGGAGATCCAGAAAAGCATTTTCACGCTCTTTTGTCCTTAGCTAGAGAGGGAATTCAGAAAGGAAAGGTATGATTATACACAAGTGGTAAGACAACTATCAAACATCTCTAAATTTTAACCAGAAATATCAGATCTACATAGTTGAGTTCCACCTCATTTGTAATAAATATGCCTCACTAAACATTATCGTTGTGTATGTTGTTTTTATATAGTTGCAGAACTTGTGCTCTAGTTCAGAAACTACCAAAGTATTTAGAAATAACTGTTATATTATTCTTACTTTTCTTCATATGCAAGGTGGTTGCTATTGGAGAATGTGGATTGGACTATGACAGGCTTCATTTTTGCCCAGCAGAGATTCAAAAGAAGTATGCATTCTAACCTTAAACTCTATTAGATATGTTTCATATTAGCTTCTTTTCTCTTTTATTGATTTTGTAATATATTAAAATCATCAAAATATCATTTGTTTTTTATCTGTGAAAGCAAGGTATTTCGAGAAGCAATTTGAATTAGCATATATCACAAAACTGCCCATGTTTTTGCACATGCGAGAAGCTGCTGCAGATTTCTGTGAAATAGTGGAGAAAAATAAGGACAGGTGTGATTTCTGAATCTCACTGTTTTGAAATTGATAATATTCTAATCATGCTGCGTATCTTATGGTTAGCTTATCATTCTATCTATTTTGGGAAGATGAATTTACTTGTGAGGATTTGGCAGTATCATTGCCATCCTATGCTATGGTATTTCTGCTTTCAACTTCAGGAATTAAGAGAAAAATAGATATAAAGGGTTTAAGATCCTTATAGACAAAGTGCAACATCGAGGCCTTTGACAACACACATGATACAAAAATTATCTGCAAATAAGAATAAATAACACTGAGTTTTTTTATCCCGTTTACCCTTATTTTTGAGCTATATACATGACCTCAAGTTATGCATTAAAATATACGTGCATGTGTTTTTTTTTATTGCTTGTATTTTTAAAGATAATCACTTCAAGATGTAAATTGTACTAACCATTTCTACTTGCACATCAGGTTCACTGCTGGAGTCACCCATTCATTTACTGGTAGTATCGATGATAGCATTAAGCTTCTCTCATTTGATAAGATGTACATAGGTAAATCCACCTTTTCAAGATTTGTCTTTCCAAAAATGGGATTGTGTTGTTCTAATTTCAAGTTTGTTAAGATAAAAAGATGATATACCTCGAGAAAGATTTGTGTTTTCGCATTATTGGTTCTGTAATCTGGATTGTTCAAAGAAAAGGAAACATAGAAAATAAACGTATAATTGATGTGTTTGATATGTAAAGGCTAATTATGTGGTTCTGTAGAGGATATTGACATGTTTGACTTTGAATATCCATTGTTAATTAACTTGCATAAAATTTCTGTTTCAGATATTGGATTGTGGTGATTGAATACTAGAAATCCAGTTAAAATGTCATGAATATTACCTTGGTTCTGTGGCAGGCATAAATGGGTGTTCTCTGAAGACAACTGAGAACCTTGATGTTGTTAAGGGTATACCTATTGAGAGAATGATGATTGAGACTGATTCACCATACTGTGAAATCAAGAATACTCATGCAGGAATTGGTTTTGTTAAATCTACATGGCCTTCTAAGAAGAAAGAGAAGTATGATCAAGAGTGCATTGTTAAGGGCCGCAATGAACCTTGTTTAGTCAAGTAAGTGGGATGGTTTTGCTTAAGCTGGCTTGTGACGACTTCCAAGTTTATTAACTGCATCTATATGGCTTTCGTACTATAGCCAGAAGAAATATCTACTGTTCAACGTAACTGTAGTTCGGAAATGAATATTCAATTAAGTTTTCTAAAATTGAAACCCTCAACATGATTTGCTAGTTTTGCCTTCTTGTTACTTTATAAGACTATCCTTTACTTCTCACTGAATGAATTTAACTTCACTCATAGAAATATAACTTTTCAAATAACATGATTGTATTTTTCCAGGCAAGTTCTTGAAGTTGTTGCTGGTTGTAAAGGCATCAATGATGTAGATAACCTCAGCAGAACATTATACCATAACACTTGCAGGTAACATAACTTGTCTCTAGACTCGTGCCATTACAGATGTAAAAACTTGTGCAGTTACTAATCTTTTTGATGATGCTATGGGATATGATTCATAACCAATACGACAATATGTCAATTCTTAAAAAATATAGGATATGATATGTATAGTATATATTGAAAAATAATCAATTTAAGATATACTTCTTAAGCATTAGTAAATATAAAATAAAAAATTGCAAATAACTGTCTCCCAAAAACTCAAACAAAAACATACTTCTTATGCATTACCAAATAGAAATTTCAAGTAATTTCATAATTTACCAGAAATAGGAATAATATCAATTTCATAATTACAAGGGTTTGAAAAAGTTTTTCACAATTATTGAGAATAGAAAAAATGTTGGACTTGAATATGCTTATTTCTCTTAAAAAGAAAATAATAATGTACTTAAAATGAAGATAGGTTGACAGACACTATATTCTAATTATTAGTAGGTGATGCATGGTTCTTTTGCTCCACTCCTTAAAAGACTTGCGTTAGGAACTTTTATGCAACCTAATTCCTTATGTTGTGAAAGGAATTGGGGAATGCAACCTAATTCCTTATATTGTGAAAGGAATTGGGGAACCCATTCATTCACTGAAGTTGAATCCTAAAAGCAGAAAACTTGATTATGTGCATAGTAATTTGCAGTTTTGTCTTGAAAAAGTGAAGAATGCATGTATAAGGCAGTACAGTCTCTTACATACACTCTTATACATGTATAAGGTTTGGGGCATTGGTGGAGATGCATGACATAGCTATGATGATGTTGAAATTCTTGAAGAGACTTCATTGTCTCTTGATGAATAAAAAATAGAAGTGATTATATATTTACTGATGATGCTCAAAGAGGGTTGAAATTAATACAATTCCTAGTTTTAGGAAATAAGAAATTAAAAATTCAGTAACACTTTCTATCTTGTATTTAGTTTTGTCTAAGAAGTATGTTCTTTGTTTAGAATTTTGAAGCCAGGGGTTTGTAAATTTTATTTTATATGAGGAGTGCTAGCCCGCTAACACTCTCTAATACTTTCTCTACTATTGGTTGAAATTGTATGGAAATTAATTTTAGTGAATGAAAGATGGTATATTCAAAAGAGTATGTTGTTAGTATTTCATTATTGCATAGTATCCGATGCTCATGTTGTATGTGTATCATAATCAGGAACTTAGGAAGAAGGTGAATATACAAATCTAGGTCATACATTTACATCAGGCTTGGCCAAATTTGGCTCGGACTCGTAAATTGACCTCATGCATATTTTTCTTTTTCAAAAGAATTGAAGTAAACTTATGGAGAAGTTATTAGATGATAAAAGTCTTAATTTATGGGCAGCGTCTCGGACCAGTACTAGAATACTATATAATGATTTTGAATAGCATGCTGCTTGCCTAATATGCCGGTATTTTATTGGGTGTGCATGTGTATATTTTCCTAATATGTATAATATCCATATTCCTTTGCAGGATATTTTTCCCTCATGACTTGGATTCTGCAGCTGATGCTCTACTAGCTGGTGGTATTTCTTCATAAACAGACCTGCTAGTGACTTGTCCTTCTCTTTGCATTTTTTTTTGGAGCTGTTACGTAACCCAAATCCGGATTCTCTTGAGAAAGTTTAGTCTTGTCCTCGAAATACGACTTAAATTATCTGTCCGGTTCTTTTTGGGAAGTGACAATCAAGAACTGATCCAGAGGACGATCTGATGAGTGTATGACAAATTATTGCTTTAATGAGTTTACAATGTGAGAAAACTATGATTCTAAACCATAATCCAAAGGATGCGATTAGCCTTATGTGGTGGATATGTTTTTATTGAATGTCATAATAAGAAGTATTTCTCAATGGAGGCTGATTTGTTGTCTCTTAAGTGCTTCCAAACATTTTTGTTGCTATTCACTTTTTTTATGCGAGTCTGAGTTCCAACTGCTCGAGCATTGTGTAAGATGATACAGCAGTCACTTTCTTTAAAAAACCTGTTAAATTAATTGTCACAAAACCTGTTGACAATAATGCCGGGTCCAGGGATATCTAGTACCATCTATGATCATGGATAATGATATTTATTTTTTATCCTACACCCTAAATCTTCAACGTTAAGCCTTAAAATGTTGCCAATCGTTCTCATTCAGAGTTATCAAACATCTCGGTTATTTGTAATTATCAATCCGGGTACTATTAAAATTAAGTGCAATAATCATGATACAGAGATGACTTTAACAATAGTTATGTGCTATTAATCTTATGCTGACATGGAAGCGGGTTCAATAGTTTAAGTATCATTGCCTTTAGCATGCTCGTACCTAGCTAGCTACATTTCCTATGATAAGCTAGTATACATAGCAAATTAGTGGTTTTGATCTATGTCGCCATGGTTTCCATTGGACTTGAAAGAATTCGCTTGAATAAATTATTAGCTGACCAAACTCTGAAAGCCATACTTTCATAATTACAAACTGTATAATTAACATCGAACCCATAGAGATATGATCAAATATTTGTTCAATAAAAAATACATCTCACAACTGCCTGAAGGTCTAGTTAGTGTATACCAATATGACTAGCAAATTGACAAATTTGCCAAGTGAACTTTTCACGAAGAAACTAAATGACGTGCATTTTGCGGGCAAAATTTTGATCGATTACCTTTCCTTATGTTCTGGCACTAGAGACCAATTCCGATCTTTCAACATTGCTTCCTGCATTTTCCTCAATTACTGGAGGAGATGATGGTGTCCTCGCTTCGGCCATATTCAACCGCAATGGGCGACCTTGTACCTCCTGAAAATGAATGTCACAGTTAGAGTGATATCATTAGATGAACTTTGACATTGCAAAATATAAGTACCAAACATGTTCTTACCACACCATTCATAAAGTCCAAGGCAGCTTCTGCAGACTCGGCAGTTGTAAAGGAAACAAACCCGAAACCTCGAGATCTTCCACTGTCCCTCTCATAGACGACCTTGGCACCCAATACGCCTGGCTGCTCAGCGAAAGCCTCTCTAAGACTCTGTGAGGTGACTCCCCAGCCAAGGTTTCCACAATAGATCTTGTGAGGACTGTCTACAAAGCCTTTGTTGTTGTTCCTTATTTTTGCCCCCATTACCAACCTTTCCCCTCCTTTGGGTACCTCTGGGAAGTTTACCTTAACAGTCCTACCACCAACTTGCTGTTCACCAGAACAGTCATTAATATTGGATTTTATTAGATATCTCCTACATCACAAAACCAACCAAAATAGAGAGATCTTCTGGAAGAACAAATTGTCATCCAAAATGATGGAACTTTCCAGTAACTTCCCTTTAATCCACGTTTTGTCATGTAACATTATAGAAACTATTGGCTTGTTAGGATAAATTTCTCATAAGCACTGGTGAGGAACATAAAGTAGGAAAAAAAGCTCTATCAACTAAAATTAGCTTATGTATGAATTAAAAATAAGTTTTTAGAGACATTAATATGTGATAGCTTCTACAAATTAAATTATACATATGTTAAGTTCATCTTATAAAGAAACTTAATTTATTTTTTCTAACTTTTTTCTCTTACAAGTGGTTATAAAGATGATTATCCAGATAAATGTTATATATGTAAAAATACTAACCCCACTGTTTTATACACCTAAAATTCTCATATAATTTAAGAATTGAACTAAAAAATAGTTTATATATACATTATTTTCTTAATCCATCAATATATTTTTTAAGAATAAAATTGTGATAGAGTTAAACTTAATTATAAGGTGGACAGTATTTTGAATGCAATAATTGACCATACAATACAATGCTATCTTAGTATATTTGTAGTTGATAGGTCTTTCCTAGCCCTTACGGGTATCAATATGGGGTTGTAACCCCTGCTCACCACGGGTTCGAATCGATTAAGTTCGAATTTTTCATTTCTACCGATAATAGATTAAAAATAAATCCGACTCACTTAACTCACAGGTTAAGCGGGTTTGAACCGGATTATGGTAGGTTGATCTACAACCCACTATTTATTTTAAATTTTAAAAATAATTATAATAATCTAGGAAGATCTAATTGATGTTATCCTACCTCTCCACCTCTATTCTAGATGTTGGGTCTTTCCGAGGGGGATAACAGGGAGATTCTCACACAAATGGGACACAAGTCAACCATATAAGAAAATATGACACCACCTTCAACCAAAAACCTTGAGACATTAGCTTATGGGTCTTTCTCACTTATAGGTTACTCAACATTCCCATTTATACCCAATGTGGTACTTCAAACTCATACTTGAATTCTCAACACTTTGTTGTCGCTATAAGTCAAACCCTCACTCAAGCTTATCATCAATTATTCGCTGCACCACTACGTTTGCCGTTTGCCATCCTTCTACCGCACCACTATGCTACCATGTTCATTGTGTTTACCGCATCACCATGTTTCAGTTACATCACAGTGTTTGTCGCGTTTCAGTCGCGTCGTAACGTTTGTCGTGTCATTACACCACAACATTTTAGTCGCACCACAGCTTTGCCACGCCACCGCGTTTGCCACACCACTTTATTTGTAATAGCATTTGTTGTGTCACCGCACCATTGCGTTCAAGTCCCGCGATTCTGCTCATTAAAAAAAATTGAATAACAAAAAAAATAAATGTGGGATAGTGAACCAACCCACCGAACCCACCAACCCGTAGTGGGTTGAGCCGGGCTGATGTGGACATAAAGGCCCAAACCCATAAGGAGAAGGATCAAGACCAAGATCCAATCTAAGACTTAGGTGGACCTATGACAAGAGACAGACTCAGAAAAACACAAGAAGCATTGCAACACAAAGTGACCAATTTGCTAAAGACCCAACTATTAAAAGCTCCAAACATGGAGAAGTCTAGCCCTATCACATGCATAAAATGTTTGGAGAGCTAGGAGACCCAACTAGAAGATTTAGTTATTATTTTTATTATTATTTGCTACAGTGGGGATTTGAACCCAAGACCCAAAGCTTATAATGCCTTCACTGAATCATCTGGACAACTTAATTTTGCTTGGGATATTAGGATTTTAATAAGGAAAATACGTAATATTCAGAATCACTTTGTGAGTTGTTACCTCCTTGCATCACTTGATCCTATCAAGAATTATCCAATTCTTGTAGCGATCCTTCTTGGCTTATCAAATATTCTTATTTGTGGCGCCTACTGTATCCTTTATGTTTTTCTGTTTTCTATTTCTAATCAAATCAACTCTTAAAATCTAACTCTAAATTGTTTCCCTTCTATTCGAGTGTCGTCACGGGCTCACCATAAAATGAGTCGAGTTGAGTTCACCTATTTTTACCTCAATCCATAGTAAGCCAACCCGTGTAAGCCGAGTTAACTCACTTTGACACCCCTACCCTTACAGGGGCTTGTTGCGGTATGCCCAAACATACACCCTATTTTCTTCACCCATTTATACTCCTTTTAAAGACAAATTCGCATTCCAAATGTGGAGGTAAATCCTTAGCCCTTAATAAAAAAAATAACTATTACAAGACAATAGTATATATTTGGGTCAATTTCACTAAAATACCCTCACTCTATTTTCATTTCTGTTATTGCATCATTAAGTATTTCCAAGACAATAGTATTTATTACAAAGAATTGAAATAGAACGTATAATATTTCTGTGAAATGTGATAACATCAATCAATATGATTTTTCTTAATGCTAAAACCACAATCATTATGAAATGGAGGGAGTAATATAAATAGTGCCACAAGAAAAGAAAAACCTATACAAACTGGTTTTTTTCCATTTCTTAGGAATAGTGAATCAATTTCCCATAAATCATTTTCATAATATATGCACTTCATCATCCTTTGATAACTCAGAAAAACAGAACAAACTCTTGGGAATGTCTCACACTACTTTGATCAAAGACAGCAGAAAAAAACAAATGCTTGAATTACAACAGCAGCTCTTTCTGCTGGAAAGGAACACCTTCTCGTTATGATTATGAACATTGTCTAAATGGACCATAGAACAGTTCTAGTAATACACTCTCTAACACTCTTTGCAACATACCTTTACCTATTGATTGAAATTCAAGTATTCGCTAGTTTGGGATTGAAACCAACTAAATGGAGAATACCTACACATTAGTAGGATCTACATGAATTGGAGTCTAGAGGGTGTGTTACTAGCATCTTTCATAAACGAAATTATATAGCAGCTAATGTACTGAGACTTACAGAGCTATCAAACATTCGAATTGCCTCTTTAGCATTCTCTACACTTCCCATTGTAACAAATGCAAATCCCCTGCTTCTACTCGTGACACGATCATACACAATCTATAAAATTCAATAAAACAAAAGGGTAGAGACCAGGATCAGATTGCACCGCAAATACATTAAATTAGTTGATCAAACCGAAAAGTAGGCACAAAGTGTGAAAAGTGACTATCAAAATGGTGAAAAGAAGAAACCTCAGCAGAGGCCACGGTGCCAGCTTCTCCAAAGAGATCTGTCAATTGGGAATTAGTAATTGAATATGGCAAGTTTCCAACATAGAGCCTCCCAGTATCGTTATCGTTCGAGTCTGAAACCTTTTGGTCTTTCTCTTGTTCTGTCTTTTCAGAGGTTTCAGTTTCTGTTTCTGGTTCTGGTGACTCAGAGCTGTCTTGACCCACTTCCAACCCATCAAGGGCGGCGGAAGGTGGAGGCAGACGGTGAAGTGGGAGAAACGAAAGACTGAAACTTTGGGACTTGAGGTTGAGATTGAGTTGTTTTTGGGATATGGGTCTTTGAGGGAAGTTGGTGGTGAGTGAAATGGAAGAGTGGGTGAGGAAAAGGTTGTATGTTCTGTTGTAGATAGAAGAGGAAACAGAAGCTGTAGCAGCCATTTAGTGTGAGAGAAAGGTTTGCAGTTTCAGAGTTGAGTATGGATGGAATTGGTACTGAAGTCTAATGGGTGAGGTGACACCCATTGTTATTGTTGCTGAGTTGGGGTTTTCTGCTTGACAAGTTAGTAGGATAAGGTTTCTTTGCTTGGGAACACCTCCAAATCTTACTCCCACTTCCTTGCATACAATTTTTTACTAGAAAATAAAAATAAAAATAAAAATTACTGTTTCCATTTATAAGGCTTTGTCATACTGGATTATTCAATATTTTTATGAAACTATTTGTAAAAATTTATTTGGTATTTTAAAAAATGTAATATGTCAATAATAGAGTTCAAGATATATGCATCAATTATCATTAATTTTTATATTTATAACAAATAAAAAATATGTTAGAAAATATTTATAATAAAATTATGGAAAATTTATTTTCTATACGTACATAATATATTCTTTATCTTATATACTAGATCCTTGATCTTATTAGATGGATATGATGTGATAATTGTAAAATTTGTAACATTTGAAATAATAAATATTATGATAACTAGCGGAAACATTGTATTTTATGTCCGTATATTTATTATATTATTTTATTTTAATTTATTAAAATTTAATGTATATATTAATTTTAAGATATAAATATTAGTTTGTGAAATTATGAATTATTGAATGTGATAAAGAATTTCAAGAACGATTGGGCGTAGCACAAGTTTTACCATAGTATGTAAGAAACCATGCGTCTTTTTCCTATTGTCAAAGGAAATCTTGAAAAGTGAGAGTCCTAGAGCTGAAAACTGAGCCAGAACCCATGATTGAAACTTTATCATACCATGTGGCTTTAGTGAATAATGCTGCTAGTTATCAGAAATTTCTGGATATTTTTCAGATAGTATACCAAATAAATTTTCAAAATGTTGTTTACCTGCTGCATATCGAGATAGTTTACTGGACTTGCTATTTTCCAGATGCTAGGATAATATATTTTTGACTTAGAAAAACACAAAAACGCTTTGTTTTAACGAAGACCACAAGCCAAAGTTCTATAATACATAATTTCTAAACACAAAATACAACACCAAGTTTAGACATAGTAGAAGCACACATAACTAGAGTTTCATGCTTTTATTTTCACACAAAGACGCATAGTTGTCTTCTACGTCAGGGTACAAGTCATTAGTTTGTACCAATGCCAAAGACACTCCTGTGCAGAAAGACAAATTACTACAGGTGCACTGAGCCAAGGATGAGTTGCCTACAGTTACAATGAGCCAAGGATGGATTGCCAAAGTATGAGCCAGGGATGAATTGCCTAGACCAGATGTTAGGACGATCCTACAGAACGAAGCTTGTCACAGTCAACACAGACAAACAAAGCTTCTTCATCTGGTCTCATGAAGGATGGGCTTGGTTCAGCATTGAACCAAACCCCCCCTTGATTCTTTGTCAGTCAAACTTTAAGGTTGCAGCAGCTACCTGCTGCTGCAACCCATTTGGGGGGTATCATCATACCACGCCCACCATCTATCATGTCTGCCAGAGTGTTGACAGCAGATCCAAAATGATTAAGGGAAAATCTGTCGAGACCTCCCCGCGAATACATGCTAGTCACCTCTGAACCACAAATATTTGGACTGCTGCCATTAGTCTCTTTTGATGAATTCAAAGTTCCAGCCTCAGACTGAAGGAATTCAGAACTCTGAGAGCCACTGGAATGAAATTGTTCACCAATAGTTTCATGCACTTGATTTCCAGTTTTGCCATTTCCATTAGCAGATTTCCTCGTGTTCAAGAAGCGACCTCCACATCCTCTTGGTCGCCGCATTGCATGGAGATGGCGTGATTCGTGCATATAAGGCTGTAAGAAAGATTTACTACTCAAATAACCATAGAAGTTAAAAGGAAATCATACTACTTCACAAGTAATCATTGTCCGTGATCAGCATAAACTGTGAGTGATTGGATTTTTTAATACAGAAACACCTTAATGATAAAATTTATTGTATTAAAACAATGTAAACCGTACTTTATATTCATTGTCAATTTGTCATACAATTTCTGCCTGTTTAAATCACAAAAGAATAGAAGTGTATAGCTGAGTTGACAGGAGTTTGTGAAGCTCATTTAACAATTTAAACTTTTATGTCATAACTACTTTGTTCCAAGGCTAGTGAGGCTGAGGCTACATTATGTTCATTAGTATAAGATGAAAAAAATATTTGGGGTACACCTATATGAGGAATCATACCTTGCGACGTTTAGTCAGTTTGTGATCAAGTACAGCTTTGGCGCGGGATTGGCGACGCCTAATGATTCCATGGTACTGCTTAGCATTGACGTATATTGGTCCATCATCAGATGTCATGTTAAGTGGCAGCATTATACGTCCCTGAATAAACAGATGATACATAGATGATTTAGTAAGCAGCGAAAGATTACACTATATTACCAAATGGTAACTAAAGGCAAAAGCATATTGATGTATAAAGAAGCTTGCTGAAGTAGAAGACAGACCGAAATTTGAGGTGCATAAGCTGAGAAGAGCCCATAAAATTGATCCGTATAAGGATATTTTGCACATATCTACAAAGGGAAGGATACCAAGTAAAAGCAAAATATGTTTACTCACACCAAAAAGACGTGCTAAAATATCAAAGTGGTTACTTTTGAGAGAAGATTTTACCATGGGCTGGCTAAATCCTATCTCAAAACGTGACTGAGAGTCAGCAAGTGATGGCTGCAGTGATATGGTTGTCTGAAGCGTCTGTGCATCATCTGACAATTTACAATCATCTGAAGAAGAAATGTCTTAATGGTTACCCATAGGAAAGTTTATGTGTCTAGTCCAGAAAACTTGAACAATTGAAAAACAAAATGGCAGAGTGGTTTTGTAAACAATCAACAACTCTACTGGCATAGAGTAGTTTTAGATTCAGAATTTAAGCCTCGAAAAATTCAGTTTAAGTGTGTTTGAAGCCAGCACTTGGACCTAAAAGGATAATCTCATAATTCGATAACCAGCATCTTTTAAGATCACAGTCTTCATGGAATTTTGGAAGACAGCAAGAGAAGAGGGAACAGGGACCAGAATAATTCTTCATGCAGGAATTGGCTTCATCCGTAATATCAAAAATTTGAAAACAAGAGTTTAACTCTCTCTCTCTCTCTCTCTCTCTCTCTCTCTCTCTCTCTCTCTCTTATTTATGATTGAATGTTTTTTCTGCTACTGTGTGTGTGAAAGTCAGAGTTGATATACAATATCCTATTGATGGTCTTCCTTCAGAGGGCTATCAATTGCCATCATGTTTCAAGTCTTAACCCATCTCAGCTAAATCTATTGACTATCTTAGCTAATGAAATACAGCATAAATCCCTTGTGAGGGGCCTGTGGAAAGTGGATTCCTCAGAATTCAATAATTAAGTACTGAAATGTTTTAACCATGTTAATTGGATTTATTCCCTGTTTATAGTGAAATTCCTGAACAATAATATGGACCATTTAGCATTGTTTGAAAACTATAAGGGCCTTTGTAAATGGTTTTGGACTGTAGAAACTTAATTGAGTTTGAAGAAAAACTATGGAGACAAAATGAGTGCTTAACTTTTTTATTTCATTGGGAAAAGGGGTCAACTCTAAAGTCTCTTCTGCAATGTTTTCAGTGAAGGCTTTTTTTTAATTTTACTTTCACCAGCTCAAGTCAGAAATCACAACGAATCACGCTCCAACGTTAGTAAACCAACAAGAAAAGTAAAGTTGAATTCCTTAGATCTTTCATATGAATAATTTATTTCCTTGTGGTGATGGTAACCCACCATTCTGAATATCAAGCTCCATTGTTTGCATATCATTCTTCTTTCAATTAAAAATATGTCCTAAAACAAAAGGGCAGACCCACATATTGAAGTTCTTTTACCATGTTCTGCTTTCATGACAAAAAAAAAAACACTAGTTGACTGTACACATATTTGTTGCAAGGTAGCTTTTAGCCATCCAAAGTTTCACAAGAAAAAAATGTTTTGTTGCTTTTTCTTTGATTTCTCAATCTATGTGCAGTTAAGTATGTGTATTACTCACAACTCCATCAACAGTTAATTACAATTACTGTTTTGATGAAAACACATGTAACTAAATGGTACATCTCAACCAGAGAGATACATCCAAAATTAGATACCTGGAAAGATGGTAAACTGAGTTTTATGTCCTTTGCCTAACACTTGTTCAGCTCCTCTTGTCGCAGTCTTACTGGCAGCAAGTTGGCCTATGCAGTTAGGAAGCTCCAAAGAAAAGGGTTTCATTTGGCCACAAGACTCTCCCCCATGAACAGGTTGAGATCCAAAAACACTCCACCAGGGTGCTGAAGCTGCAGATGACAAGGCCCCTACAAAATTGTGTGCATTTCCTTCATGTTCTTTAAGATAAACAGTTTGCATCGCCATATACGTTCTCCAAAAGATGATTTCTAAGTTAATCTTATTGGTATGTAGAAAAAAGTTTCCTGTAAGAAAGGATCGAATAACAACTATCAAAGGAAGATAAATAGTAAGGCCAAGAGGAAGATATAAATACATAGTTATAAGAAAGGTCAAATTTTCCAAGAAAGAGAAACAAAATAGGGGAGAATCAGTACATAAAGAGTATGTACCTCCGATTTGTATTCCGTCTTCAGCATAAACATCAACAGAAACGAGCTGAATTGAAACATACATCAAAACACAATTTCAATTTCCTTTCCTTATCAATAATCAACAATAATACTAACAATACACAAAATAAGTTAATTAGACTATTCAACAAAGCCACAGCAATAATAACAGAAGACTTTAGAGCTTGAAAGGGGACATAAAAGTGAAGATAATTAGAAGAAGACAAAAGTAAGATGGGAATTACAATCAGGAAAAGCACAACCCAACAACTATCCCAACAGAAAAGTACAAACAATAAACCAGAAATGAGCATACATACGAAGTACGAAACTCAGATACATAAACCAACAGAACCACATGCCCAAGCTAGAGAAACAAGAAGCACAAAAAAATAAAACAAAACACATACTCACACCAAGAAACAGAAAAGTCAAGCTCCAAGGAGTGAGTTGACAATAACCGATAACTCCTAGAAGAAGGAGAAGAAACAAAAGGGAGAGCACTAACATATGAAACTCAGTTATTATAGAAACTGAAGAAGGAGTAGCAGCATCGAATCCTACGCAGAAACAGAGTTAGCCCCATTAGGTTGGAGTGATGTCGGTAGAATATGAAGCAAAAGCACACGAAGGAGAGAGAAAGTGGAAGTGAAAGGAGATGAAAGCGTACAAGTGTAATGGAAAATAACACGCCAATGAGCTTTGGTTTTCATGCACACCAAGGTCCCTCCACCACCTCCTTTAGTACTGTGTGACCCCTTTTTTATTATTATTTTATTTTTCAATGAATTATAACATCACTCACTGCCACTAATCTTTTGTAGTATCTTACATTGATAATACTTGCTTTTTTCGACCATTGTCTCATCTTCATTTCTTAGTTTCTAAAACCCAAAATAGGATGGTGGAAATCAAGAATGGTGGCCAAGCTGTGCCAATATTTTAACCACCACCCTCTCTATTTGTGGCAATGTCCCTTAGTTGTTTTCTAATTTTTTATTCTCACTAATGCAAGTTGGGGAGGCACCTTATGCTAAGTTTTTAGTGGTCCTGTCCTGTGTCTTGAGTTCTCAAGTTTGCATGCTTACTAGCCTTTGGTTTGCCCATTAGACCATGAGAGGGGTCGGTAGGATTATATATACATACCCTTTTCATTACCCCATTTTTGTATTCAGAAAATTTGGTTGCTCAAGAAAATTGTCCAGATCTGCCATTTTTCTTTACAGTGTAGTGCTCTGCTATGCGTGAATAGAATTGTTGTTTCCAACACTCATAAAAGTTTAACCGTTCACGCCCTTTGAAAATTAAATTGACTTAACTACCTTAAAGTTATCTATCACTTTCGTTAGTTGCACTGCTTAAATATATTATTCTTGTGGGACAACAAAGCACATTTTGGTGGTGTTCGCTTAGAATCTAGTTTTAAGTTTTTACAATCAAAACACTCAATAAATCACTTTAAAATCTTAAGAATCTAATTCAAAGTTTTGTAGTTTAAAAGCAGTAGTGATCCAAGCGACTTAACAAGTAATAGTAATAATTAAAAAAATTAAATAAAACAATATTCCATTGGTTCTTAATATTCAAAATATGCACCTTAAATAAGATATAAAAACCATACTTAAGATTTCAAATAAGCTATTTTATAATGCTTAAAGTTAAATTTAACTTAATTAAATAACATTCATTAATATAAACAAATTTATTTCTTAAAAAATTTGAGTTAAATAAGTTTTTGGTAATTCCAAAATTTTTCTGTGTTAAAATTGGTATCTCCATAATTTTTTTCAGAGTTTTTTTTATGACATTTACTAAATACGAGATTTTGGTAACGGTGTTGACTAAAATATATGTCATCGATAATTTCAACAATATCATATATCAGAATATATATGCGAATATTTGACTAAAATAATTATATGGCATCGATCATTTAAGTGTAACAAAGTTAATATTATTCAAACCAATTTTATACCTTTATTATATTTTTACTGAAATTTTTTTAGAAATACCTATCAAAAGATTTTTTTAACTCTAAAATAATGACAATTTAATATAAAAAATTATAAGAAATAAAAAATATAAATGACCAAAATATATGTTCTATAATATAAAAAAATAATAATAATTGAAAAAATATATCTAAGTATAACTGTTATTAATTTTTTTTTCTTTTATCTTAAAATTATTTTAATTAAATTTTAAAAATATTCGAAGTAAGTTTTTTTACTTATTTGATAAACTTTCATTTTTAAATTTTTTTAGAAATAACATATCGATGATAATTTCGATGATAATTTGCTGTTTTGAAAATTTGACTATCGATTCACTACCTGGAAATCAATTTAAAAATTACTATATTACTTTTTAAATAAATTTAAATAATTGAATTTTAATTAAATTAATATAAAATCTGAAAAATCGAAAATAAAAAAATTGATACTAAAATAAAATTGATTAAATTTTTGAGTTGAACCAATTTCAATTAAAAAAATCAAAATCAAAATTTTTTAATATAATTTTTTTATAAAAAATATAATATATTTTTTTATTTTTATTTTATATTAATTACATTAATTTTAAATAATAATAATAATTTATTATATTTTTATTTTATTAATTACTTATTTTATATTTTTTAATATATTTATATTTATAATCTTTATTATAATTTATAGTAATTAATAATATGTATAAATTATGTCCGATTCAATGACCTCATAGTTTAAAAATAATATGATGTAATATAGTGTTTACGTTAAAGAAATAAAACATTTAGAAATCCACGTAGAATTTTGGAGCTCATTTCTTTGGATTTTGCTTTCACCATAACACCTTCAAATTTTAGATAGAAATTATGATAAGAGAAAAATGAGTGAGTAGACGAGTTGTTGTCTATCATATTTGATTTTCTTCATATTCTTAATGATTAAGTTGTGATGATGAATATTTGACTATTGTTTCTGGTAAAAATTTGATTGATTTCGATTTTTCAAAGACTTAGGTTCTAACCAAATTTTAACCACGTAGATTCTTTTTATTTAGGTTAGCAAACGGCTTTCAATCGAAAAAATGCATGAGAATCGAAAATTCCGTGGTTTCAAAAATGTAGACAACCGAAAGTACTATTTTTGGTATTTTTTATTAAGGGACGCGAAGTAAAGAAAGTGGTAGAAAAGGTGTCGAATCGAAAAGCAATGCAGAATATTAAATTGCAGAGAAATGTAAAGTGCGGAAAACTCGAAATTGCATTAAATGTAAATGGCAAGAAATCGAAATATGCAGAAATGTAAATAGCAGGAAATCGAAATTGCTGAAATGTAAATAGCAGAAAATCGAAATTGTTGAAATGTAAATAGCAAGGAATCGAAATTGCTGAAATGTAAATAGCAAGAAATCGAAATTGCTGAAATGTAAATAACAGGAACTTAAACGCATAACCTTAACTTGCACAAGAATAAATGACAAGGAATCGGCAGAACAGAAACTTAAAGTTGATAAATGTAAATTGCGTGAAAATAAATTACCAGGGAAAGTAAAGAAAACGATAAAGACAATCAATGAAAACGGAAATCCAGAACATTAGAAACTTCATGATGCGTCGTTCTCCTGTAGACTGTTCACTTGCGCTTCTGTTGTCTCTGCCAATTTCCCCTTTTTCTTCATGCTTCATTCTATTTATAGGTCTGCTTTAACGTAACTCCCTAAGAGCAGTTTAGAAAACTGCTACCACGTTCCATGTACACGTACACCAACTATCCGTTTCTTTTTATCTTAGCTGCGGTTTTGAGAAAACTGTTTCCCACGTTCCATGTGCGTGGTAACCGTTCCTTTGCTCTTGACTTCAACCATCGAATATTTAAAACTATTTCTGACTTTCCATTTAACTTCATACTCAATACCTTTTATCGATTTTTACTTCCCCCTGATCATCGAATTTCTTGTATTTCTTTCGATTCTCGATTCTGATTCTCGAATTTCTTGAGCAATAACCATCGAATCCTCTTCTTTTATTTCTCGATTTTTTATGTCGATTTTTTACTAACAAATGCCCCCTCGAAAGAATATAATTTGTATCAATTTTATATTCTTTCGAAATAACTCCCGCCCTTTTAAACGTTCTCGGAGCTCATAATATCTTTTTTAGGGTTTAGGGTTTCTAGGGTTTCTGGGGTTTTTAGGGTTTCATGTTAAATATCAAATCATATCTTATCCACTGTCACAATGCGCACGCCGTATTAATTACCCTCTTCACATCCGTCGTTTCAAATACCCTAATCTTGGCCCCTTAAAAATACTTTTATCAGTTTTCACCCTTGTCTTTTACCACGAACCTCCTCCTTCGTTGCACTTCTTCATCTTCAACCTTTCGTCTTCCTTTTCTCTACCGGCTGTAATGGCGACTCCCAGATCCTCTGATTTCTCTACCCCACCGCTTTCCTCGGTGACTTCAACCCTGATAGAGATTAATGGAAGAAAGTTTGCTTCAGTCCCCTTGATGGAAGAAGCTTCGCAGAAAATAGCTGAGACTCAGGTACTTGTTCCTTATGTTGTTGATAGTATAGATTATGCGTTTGGTGGTGCCATCCGCTATTGTGGAGGATCGTTTTCTTCTTCCTTCAGCCTTCCCTCAGAAAGTAAAGCTCTTATACACAAACCTGAAGTTCGAATTGATTTTCTGACTGCTGTTTCAAAAGTATATCGAACAGACCCTCCCACAAAAAACCTTTGTATATTAGATGGTTTGATCGAGTTAAGGCCAAATTTGGGAACCATTGGAGAGATGTAGGGATTTTTTATTTTCTGCATTTATCTCGATGCGATCTATCATTCTTAGATATGTCTATGTTTTTGTCTGCGGTTCATTTATGGAATAAGGATCTTCATGCCATGGAGCTTCCCTGTGGTCCCCTTTCTCCGACTCTCTTTGAAGTTGCTGCGATCACTGGGTTAAAACCTACAGGGGAGAAATAGTTTAAGGGCGCTTTCCCTTCTGATGACTCTCTAAGATCAAAAATCGATTGGGAATCGAAAGCTTATGGACATTTCATCGAAAAACATTTTGTCGATGATCAATCGATTGCTGTTTCTGACGAGGAACATGTGGCTTTTCTAGTATATTGGCTCTGTACCCACGTATTTTGTCCTCGATCTATCCAAATCACCTCTCATCTTTACAATTTGGCTTACCTCCTCCACACCGGTCAACCTAGGGTTTGTTTGGCAAAGCTTTTACTGGCCCATGTTTATACTACTTTTGATGTGTAGACCCCTAATTTTGCCCGGTCTCTCAAATAAAGATAAAAGAGATCACCCGTAACAAGATAAAGCTCGTCTAGCATTACAAATAAGAGCCAAGGAGACTTCCTACATGAAGATAAAGCTTCAACAGACGCATATCGGCATCAACTGACGTCCAAAACAGGCAAGGAAAGCTTCCCGGAGTCCCGAAACGCGCGAAACTGGCCAGAACAGTCGAGACGGCCGTCCCAAAGGTGGGACGGCCGTCCCAACTTGCTCCAGCCAGTTGGGACGCGCGTCCCGAAGTTGGGACGGCCGTCCCAAGCCCCAGAAAAGTGGGACGGCCGTCCGGGTCCCCAGGGGTCCCGGCTGTGTAATTTTGCCATTTGGGACGGCCGTCCCAGTCCAGGACGGCCGTCCAGGTCCGGACGGTGGTCCAGAAGTGCGCCGGCTTCGAAAACTATAAATAGGAGGCTCATTTGTCACTTTTTCACACCCGAGACATCCCAGAGAGCTCTGAAACACTTTCTAAAACTCAGAGCACTTGTCTATTTCTCTCCCTCTCTTGAATGATCTTTCAGATTGCCTTAAATAGGTAACAATCGGTTAAGGAATTATATTCCGGCATTCGATTCTTCTTTAAATTTTTAGTAGAGTCGATCCTGTATTGGTGAGGAGAGTCTGTGTAGAGAGAGGGGTTGCCAAAACGCATCCTCACGGTTCGAGATTCTCAATATCAAGCTTGCTACGGAGGTTCTTTTCAATTCTCTTCTCTTTTATTGCTTTATTTATTGTTTTATTTAGCTTTATTTATGCCATGTAGAATAAAATCATGTAGATAGCTATTTTGTCTCTTTTATTGCTTTATTTAGCTTTATTAATCATTTTATGCATGCAATATAGAATAAAATCATGTAGATAGCCATTTAATATTATGTAATAAAATAGGGTAATCGCATAATTTCTCGTAGTCTTTACTTAAATGAATTAATCTGTCATAGGGAACCCGAAAGGGGCGTTGTGGGGTGCTAACACCTTCCCCACACGTAACTAACTCCCTTACCCAACTCTGGTTATAATGGCCAAGTGCGGTTTTTTTTAAAATCAACATTTTTTCCTTTTCCAATGTTTATGGTCAAAACATTGGTGGCGACTCCATAAGAACCCCTTTTCGAAAACCTTTTAAAACAAAAACGCGAGTCTAAACCATCTTTTCGCGACCGCTCGCATAAACGTTTCTAAGACGTCCCCCTCCGGACGTCGGAAAGGGACGGCGGCGACAGATGGCGACTCCACTGGGGAAGCTAGAGAGTTGATCCCATTTAGTGACGAGATAAATTCAAACTAAGTAATGATTTGAAATTACGCCTTTACCCTCCGTATGTTTTTACTTGTATGGCTTTAATAACTGCTGTATGATTATTTACTGCAAATTGTTTGAAATATAAACTGCACACAAAAACCCTTGCACACAACGAGTCCCTCTATACCGGGGGCAAGAGTGAATACCTGTAGGGAGTGGGTGGCGAGATACGATCGGTTAGTTGGCACACGGGGCTACTGCCGTTGTCGGAAAACCACCAACTCAAGGTGATAACTCTCTTCTTTTGGTCTAAGGGTGTCGCCACGGAGTTCCGTGCATGACCCGAGGATTGAGAGATTGAGAGGTCCCTATAATGGGGGCACCTTGGGGACCTTTGGCCTGGTGAGAACAGTTAGAACCACCTAAACCAAGCACGTTTCTGCAGGAAAATCCCACCTCGTGATTAAATAAGCATGACTCTGCTCGTGGATGTATGAATTGTGTGTGCATACGTTTGCTGCATTTGTATTGATGCATTAGCATAGGGTAATCATACAACAAACAGAAAATGAAAAACCCTAAAAATCATAAAAAAATGAAAAACCCTAAAAATCATAAAATAATGAAAAAACCCTAAAAATATAAAAACATTAAGGTCATAAAAATACCTTTTTACAAAAGATTCTTGGCAAAGTCGTATCATTAATTCCATATCATCCAATAAGTGGTAAAATTAAGAAAGAAAATAATTGCAGCATGCTCATCATTTTAATAAACCCCTAAAAAATGGGTCTTAGAGACGTTTTTTGGGAAAATTACTGGGCCAAATCGCCTTCGGCAATTTGCAGCTTGGTTCTTCACCTTTTTCTCTTCGTTTTGACATGCTGTGCGTCCAAATCGGACAACCCAGTCAAAAGTTATGCCACTTTCAATATCTGCTGTCATAAAAAATATTTTTGTACTGCATACATAAATACATTCATCTTAGGGCATATTTATTCCACGCTAATCATTTAAAATAAAAAGTCATAATAAGAATCATTAAAATCATTTAGAAGGTGGCTGGTCTTCTACCTGTTCTCACTCGCGCTCAAAAAGCCAAGAAGATGGAGAAATTAGAGGAGCAGAACCGTATGCTGACCACTGAGCTTAATGTCATAAAGGAACAAATAGCGCAATTAACGGAGCTAATGTATCAGCAATGCTTCCACAATACGGTCTCTGAGCAACGAATTTCTGCCCTAGAAGAAAAATTAGAGGGATATAACTTTGATGTAAAGGAGGTAACCGA